GGTCAGCAGTTCGAAACTACCAGCTGTTCCGCGGGAGAAAGATGAGGCGTTCTGCTCCCGTAAAGATTTACAGCCTCGGAAACCCTATACAGGGTTGCTATGGGTCGGAATCGACTCGACGGCACTTAACAACAACAACAAAAGCTTATGATATAGTAAATATTGAGTAACATTAAAGACATTACTTTTCACGTCTTCCTTATTCATTGTCCAGCTATTTTATGAATAAGAAGCAATACTATGCAAATACTATGGACTGGTCCTGGTTCACCTTAGTCCTTAAACTGGCAACTTTTTTCTTGAACAGTTTAAATGGTCCATGTAGTAGATTTGTTCAATACATATACCATTTGATTTCCTGACTACTATTTCCATGATTGTTGATTGTAGATACAACTAAAATGAAATCCTTGACAAATTCATTCTCTAACTATCAGGACATTGTTTATTGGTCCAGTTGTGAAGATTTTGTTTTCTTATCATTGACTTGTCTATACGAAATGGTGTAGTCTTTGATCTTTATCAATAAGGACTTCAATACCTCTTTACTTTGAGCAAGCAAGGTTGTTTCATCTGCATATCCTGGTTGTTAATGAGCCTTCTTCTATTCCTCATTCTTCGTTATTTTTCTTACAGTCTAGTTTCTTAGATTATTTACTCGGCATACAAATTGAATAAGTACAGTGAAGGGATACAACCCCGATCTACACCTTTCCTAATTTTAGACCATCCTTGTTCATTTCAACAGCTGCTTCTTGGTCTAAGTATAGGTTCTGCATGAACAAAGTGAAGTATTCTAGAATTGTGTTTCTTGCAGTGTTATCCATAATTTGTTATGATCACACTGTTATATGTCCTTTTCTTAGTCAATAAAACACAGGTAGACATGTTTCTGGTATTCTCTGCTCTCAGTCAAGATCCGTTTGCTATCACAATGATGTCCATCTTTCCACGCCCTATTCTGAATTTCTGACAGTACCCAGTTAATGCACTGCTGCTTCTGAATTATTTTCAGAAGAATTTTATTTATGTTTGATATTAGCGATGTTGTTGTTGTTAAATGCCGGGAGTCAATTCCAACCCATAACAACCCTGTACAGGGTTTCCCAGGAGTGACTGGTAAGCTTGAATACCAACTCTGTTGGATCACGTTTTTGAAGGAAATAGTCACAGCTCTTCCAGTCAGTGGGCCAGGTAACTATCTT